AAGTGTGTTGTGGAAGCCATATTCTTTTTTTTTTTCCAGGAAGATGGTGGCTGTCGGGGTTTTTTTTTTTTTGTTTTGTTTTTGGCCTTCTTCACTCAGCCTGGCGACAAAAAGGGCGTCTGTCTGTCCCTCCGAGGCCGGGATGCTCCATCCTTCCCTTCCGATACGTCCGATCGATGGCGGTCCAGCGAACGGGCAGACGCCTCGGCGAGTCCCGACTGACGCACGCCGCCGACTCTTGACCGACGAATGTTTCTGTCTCCTTTCAAACGCCGTTTCGTGTCACAAATCATCTCGTTCATTTCTTCAGTCATGCTTCCCTTTTGTTTTTTTTGTATTTGTGCTATTGGACGTGACGTGTTGATTTCCCACCGGGCGGTGGTCGCCGCCGGCGTGCGTGACCACCTCGGCCCAGTTTCCACGACGTACGTGGTTCTTGTCTTTTCTCATCCTTGGCATGAAAATAATCCAAATGGTTAAAAAAAAAAGCAGGCTCCAGTGAGTGGAGAAGCCCGACAAGACAACCGTTTTATACACGGCGAGGTTGGAGTTGTGATGTTTCCGTTATTTTTCCAAGATCCTCTGTGGGAGAGCCTTTCCTGGTCCGCCATGTCTTGTGCTGTGTTTTTTGTTTTTTTTTGGAATGATTGCGTTTGTTCCATAGCGTTATCATAGACGAGTGCGAGCGCCGTGTGACCTCATTGCAGTTTTAAAGAGTAGCACCATTTTGCTAAATTCAGAGGCGGGCGCATCAGTTCATTTTGCCGGCCCGTCCTTCTCCAGCGGCCGGGACGCCCGTCAGTCCGTCTTTCTCAATCTGTCATTCTTTCAAGCCCAACCAAATTCCGTCATCGTTGCTTTCACGGCGCTTCCGTCGTTGCTCAACGAGAGTTCGGCGCTGCTATTTGAAGTCACTTGTCTGTCAGTCCTTCATGGTTAAATATAAAAATAATTCAATATGTAAATGGTTCAGGAAAATCTTAAATTCATTGAACGGATGATTTTATTCAGGAGGCTACTCAAATGTCATGGCCCCAAAAACCCGGAGTCTCCCCTCCACCGGAACGGTTCGACCCAACCTGTCATCTGCCACCAAGCATCACGTCACTTGAAAACAATGTCAAAGGAAGTTCAGGATTGAGAACGTCTGATGTTGATCATTTTTGTGCACAGTGTATTCATTAATAATGTATTTCGTTTTGTTTGTTTGTTTTTTGTTGTTGTTCTATATATTTAATTCCAAGTAGTTCGAGAAACCAATCTACAAATGCAGTTCCAAAGTTTAATAAGTCAGACAATGAAAGCACAGCACTCCGTTATAGTCAGTCGGTCCCGACCCGGTTACTGACGATGACGTTAACGGTTGGAAAGCCACTTCCGTCGCTGCTTGGTCCGTCCCTTTCTCAACGTTTCCAGTCAATTGTTGGCAAAACGGGCGTCCGTCGTTGACGGGTTGTCGGACCTTCTCACCTCAGGTTGAACTAAACCAAACGCACGAACAATACGGTCTAGTTTTTTTTTTCTGTCTTCCCCTCATCAAGGAGAACTCAAGGCTGCTTAGTCTTGACCTGAGAATCGAAAGCTATTTCTGGGAGATGATTTCTCAGCCATGCGACACCCCCCCCCTCCCCCCCACCAAACAAAATCATGTCATCCATCTGCGGCGTTTAATGAAGCCGTGATATCTTGGTACGAGTCCATTGGCACCTAACTGGAAACGGTTTTCCTATTATATGAATGCTCTCGATGTCGAGTTTGCGTTTCCAAATGTTCTAAGTGGAATCCGCAAGCTGTGTCCCTGACGCAGAACTGCTCTTTGACTTTGGTCTGTAATCAAAATGTTCACGTCACTTGGGAAATAGGCCTTTTTCAATTTGCTTTGGAACGAGTTGAGATTTTGCAGGCCTAAATTATTCAATAAGCCGGCCAAATGAAAAATGTGAACCGATCTTGTGTGTTGTGCATCAGCACGCGGCTGATGTGGCTCAGCATGGAGGTTAACGGGGAATCATTTGGACTTTCACTCCTGTCGGCTGATGATGTCTGTTGTCTGTCATTCCTCTTGTTATACTGTCTTACAGCTAATGTGTATGAAAGTGCGGTTATATTTATGAAATAAATACATTTTTAAGCAAGAGCAGTTTTCTTGTTTGGTTGACCACAAAGGGACCTGTCAAAGCCAGCCAGCCTGACGCTGTGCATGAAACCTCCCCTCAGAGGTGTTAGGAGTATTGATGTTACTCAAGTAGAAATATCAACTGCAGCTATTTACTTAAGTATAAAAGTAATGGTTTTAAAACCACCAAGTATAAACTGAATACAAGGAGGGGGGAAAAGTATTGAAGCAAAAGGCACACATTTTGATACGTTATATGTGCCCTGGTAGTCAAAACACGGGTTTCTTATTAATCACTCATTCGTACAATAATAATGAATCAGATGAATCAAACCCAAAGTTTTTGACATGACCTTGAAGACAAACCCTTGGGCCGCATTACGGGGACAAATTGGGTACAACCCCAAATTCCACCCCAAACGTTTTGAAAAAGTCCATAATAGTGACAATCTTGTATTAAAATGTTCTATTGAAGGCTACCCATTTCAGCTAACTGGAAACGGTTTTCCTATTATATGAATGCTCTCGATGTCGAGTTTGCGTTTCCAAATGTTCTAAGTGGAATCCGCAAGCTGTGTCCCTGACGCAGAACTGCTCTTTGACTTTGGTCTGTAATCAAAATGTTCACGTCACTTGGGAAATAGGCCTTTTTCAATTTGCTTTGGAACGAGTTGAGATTTTGCAGGCCTAAATTATTCAATAAGCCGGCCAAATGAAAAATGTGAACCGATCTTGTGTGTTGTGCATCAGCACGCGGCTGATGTGGCTCAGCATGGAGGTTAACGGGGAATCATTTGGACTTTCACTCCTGTCGGCTGATGATGTCTGTTGTCTGTCATTCCTCTTGTTATACTGTCTTACAGCTAATGTGTATGAAAGTGCGGTTATATTTATGAAATAAATACATTTTTAAGCAAGAGCAGTTTTCTTGTTTGGTTGACCACAAAGGGACCTGTCAAAGCCAGCCAGCCTGACGCTGTGCATGAAACCTCCCCTCAGAGGTGTTAGGAGTATTGATGTTACTCAAGTAGAAATATCAACTGCAGCTATTTACTTAAGTATAAAAGTAATGGTTTTAAAACCACCAAGTATAAACTGAATACAAGGAGGGGGGAAAAGTATTGAAGCAAAAGGCACACATTTTGATACGTTATATGTGCCCTGGTAGTCAAAACACGGGTTTCTTATTAATCACTCATTCGTACAATAATAATGAATCAGATGAATCAAACCCAAAGTTTTTGACATGACCTTGAAGACAAACCCTTGGGCCGCATTACGGGGACAAATTGGGTACAACCCCAAATTCCACCCCAAACGTTTTGAAAAAGTCCATAATAGTGACAATCTTGTATTAAAATGTTCTATTGAAGGCTACCCATTTCAGCGACAAACACGACCGTGAAAAAACGATCACATCTAGTCGGCCTACAAATGCAAATACAGTGCAGTACATTTAAGTGACGTTTTGACTCCTGCGCATTCAAAGGTAGTGTGTAGAATGTAGTGCCATCTAGCGGTGAACTCATAGAATGCCACGACCTCAGCTCGAAGCGTGTCTATTTTGAAGCTAGCAATATTTAGGAATTTCGGGGTAGGTTAAGCAACAGATGGGATTTTTTTTCCCTGAAACGAGGTTAACGGGGAATCATTTGGACTTTCACTCCTGGCTGATGATGTCTGTTGTCTGTCATTCCTCTTGTTATACTGTCTTACAGCTAATGTGTATGAAAGTGCGGTTATATTTATGAAATAAATACATTTTTAAGCAAGGGCAGTTTTCTTGTTTCACTCATTCGTAAAATAATAATGAATCAGATGATTCACCTCCCCACCCCCCCAAAGTTTTTGACATGACCTTGAAGACAAACCCTTGGGCCGCATTACGGGGACAAATTGGGTACAACCCCAAATTCCACCCCAAACGTTTTGAAAAAGTCCATAATAGTGACAATCTTTTATTAAAATGTTCTATTGAAGCCTACCCATTTCAGCTACAAACACGACCGTGAAAAAATGATCACACATCTAGTCGGCCTACAAATGCAAATACAGTGCAGTACATTCAAGTGACGTTTTGACTACTGCGCATTAAAAGGTACAGTGTGTAGAATGTAGTGCCATCTAGCGGTGAACTAATAGAATGCCACGACCTCAGCTCGAAGCGTGTCCATTTTGAAGCTAGCAATATTTAGGAATTCGGGGTAGGTTCAGCAACGGATGGGATTTTTTTTTTTCCTGAAATGTCATAGCTATAAATTACGACGCATGGTAACATCCGTATAATGCTCAGCTTTTATTTATAAGATTTAAAAACAAACAAAAATATCTCAGAAACATTGACGGAGCCTGGGCAGCTGCGAGGTTTTCCGTTGACCTACTGGGCCCCCTCCTCGTCGGCCCCGCCCTCTTCTTCCAGCTCCACCAAAGGAGCGTGTCGATTGGCCTGAGCGCCCTCGTTGAAGAAGACCTTGGCGATCACGCCCGCCTTGGGTGCCCGGATGATGTGCTGTTGGGGCATCGAAGCAATCACACGTCATACCGCCGTTCGGAGAGGAAGTCCGCGTGGGCTTGTTGGCGTGCTTCTCACCTCCATCTTCATGGCAATCATGACCATCAGCGGGTCACCGACATTCACTTTGTCGCCCGCCTTCACCAGCACCTAACGCAAACCAAGTCATTGTCAGTCTGAAAATATTTGCTGAAAAACTGTTTGTGTGTTCAGGCCATGGCATTTTCTCATTGAAAAGTATTGTTTTTGCAACATCTAGGTGCCAGTGAACTAGGTTCAAGTGAGTTGGTGAAGTTATCGCATCTACAGGCAATGAAAGCTGGCGAGAGAGCTGCTCTGCGCGTGTAGATGAAATGAAAGCACCTTCTCGATCGTTCCAGTCATGGGGGCCACGGCGCCGCCCTGAGCGCCGGATCCGCTCACAGCGGCCAGATACTTTGGAAGCGGAACGGACACGTCAGCGCCGCCCTCCTGCGCGAGACGGCACAACTGTCAGACGTCAATGGTGGCACAACGCCGAGCGTCTGAAGATAGCAGAGAACCGAAGCGCTGACCGTGGAGAAGAGGTGAACGCTGTTGTCCACGATCACGAGTTTGGGTCGAGACTTGACGCCGTTGACGGAGGAGTGCAGGAAGGAAGCTCCGCCCTCTGTCTCCAGCTCCCCCGTCACATGGAACAGCTCCTCTCCCAACTGAAAGCGGCCGACAGGGGGAGAAGAAAAAAAAAAAGATTTCCTACGGCTTCCCTTTGAACGTGTCGTGAAGCATCTGTTCAAATGTGCCATACCTGCATCGTGTAGCTCCCGTCTTCGTTGTACGTGATGACCACAACCACCTCTGAAAAGCAAATCCGAATCGTTTCTCGATCGCGAGCTCAACTGAGAGTTGCAACTTCCTACCGGGCTTTCTACTCGTCCAATCTAAAAATATCAACAAGTAATTCCTTGTCACTAGCTGATGCTAATGCAGTTTGGATGGTTTTCAAAACAAAAAACGTTCCTCCCCCAATTAACTTTCTGGCGCAAGCATCCATTTTGAGACCTTTAGCGCCACATCCTTGCTCCCCAAAGCGTTACGATGATCGGAATGCGCCAAACTGGCCAATTTCCTCGCTCCCGGTTTGAGCGCACCACGCCAGCGACTTACTCTCGTCTCCCAGCTGTAGCGCCAAGCTCCTGTGCAAGCGCGTGTTCAGCCTCCAGCCGCGACTCGAGCCAAATGGCGAGGAAGGATCTGGTGGGGCACAGAGACGCGAGTGGTGACGGCTCTTTTTCCTCGCCGGCTGCTTCCAACGCGCGCGAGGCCGCTGCCGCGTCCGATCACCTCACCTGTGGAAGTGCCCGCCGAGTCCTCTGCGCATTTCTTCTCGCGCAGCAGCAGGCCCAGGGCCGCCTGGCAGACGGTGGCCCCGGAGGGGGCTTTGGGCGGCGGGAAGAGATCGGCGTAGTGCTGAGGGATGAAGCTGGTGCTCACGTTGCCCGCCTCAAAGTCCGGGTGGCCCGAGAGGCTCAGCAGGAAGTCGATGTTGGTGCTCAGACCGACAATCTGACGGCACCGCAAGAAACCCATTCAAAACGCAATCCACGTGCCGTTCACTTTTCATGTAACGAGAGGTGCAACCATTAAATCGATGAAAAGACAATTGCGAAAATTAATCGCCGATTATTTTTGACAAGCAATGAATCGTTTCGATGTCTTTTAAAATTTTAAAGTGATCAGAACTTCAGCTTCCGATTTTCGGTAGTCCGGCAGGAAAGCAGAGTGATATCTTTGTGTCGATTTCAAAATATAGCAATTGTGTGTGTGTGTGTGTGTGTGTGTGTGTGTGTGTGTGTGTGTGTGCGCGCACCAACTCCGGTTGATCGAAATAGATTCCATGTCTTACATTGTATTGCCTCAAGCTGTAGCGCAGCTTAGAAGATGAATGGATGGATGGATGGATGGCAATTCAACTCTATAAATTTGAGATTGCAGACTCCAGCCACACACACACACACACCCCCACCCCCCCACACACACACACACACACACACACACACACACACACACACACACACACACACACACGATAAATTAATTCAGGGCTTCTCACAGCTCCTCAGTAAGTATCAAGGCTTTGGCAATCATCTCTGTATGATAAATGACCACTAGATGGCAGGAGTGGTTCAGCTTCCGATTTTCGGTAGTCCGGCAGGAAAGCAGAGTGATATCTTTGTGTCGATTTCAAAATATAGCAATTGTGTGTGTGTGTGTGTGTGTGTGTGTGTGTGTGTGTGTGTGCGCGCACCAACTCCGGTTGATCGAAATAGATTCCATGTCTTACATTGTATTGCCTCAAGCTGTAGCGCAGCTTCTGTAAGGCAGCACGGCGGTCCTCCCCCCACACCACAAGCTTTGCTATCATTGGGTCATAGTGAGCGGACACCTCGTCTCCTACAAAAAAAAAAAAAAAACACACACACACACACACACACACACAGGATAAATTAATTCGGGGCTTCGCACAGCTCCTCAGTAAGTATCAAGGCTTTGGCAATCATCTCTGTATGATAAATGACCACTAGATGGCAGGAGTGGTCTGTAGGCCTTCAAAAATTTGTCAAATGGTCAAAAATGGCTGCCACCGGTTCTCCCAATTAGAGAAAAACAGCTGGAATGAAATGAGTAAGGACTTCTTTTTTTTCACAATTGCAAACCTCGGGTGTCGTTTATCCTATGAATGCAGACGCCAAGACATTTGGGGAAGCGATTTGAAACTCGCACCTTCTCGGACTCCGGTCTCGATGCGAGTGTGCTGGTCTGGCGGAGGCGTGGAGAGATGTAGCAGAGGCCCCGCCCCTGGGAGGAAGTCGTTGTTGGGATCCTCCGCATAAATCCGCGCCTCAAAGGAGTGACCTCTGAGCATGATGTCATCTTGAAGCAGAGGTAAGCGCTCCCCCGCCGCCACCTGCGGGAGACGAGGGGCCCCACATGAGAACCGGTACGGGTTCAAGAGCCGCCAGGTCACAGCAGCACGCCCGGCTCACCCTGAGCTGCCACTCCACCAGGTCCGTGCCGGTGATCATCTCAGAGACGGGATGCTCCACCTGCAGCCTCGTGTTCATCTCCATGAAGTAAAAGTTGTGCCGGGCGTCCATGATGAACTCGACTGTGCCTGCAAAGCGACACGGCACACGAGTGTTATGGGAAGGAGGCTAACGTACCGGTAAACCCGCGTGTGCGTACGTGACCTGCTCCGACGTAGTTGACGGCCTTTGCCGCTCTCACAGCTGCTTCACCAAGTTTTCTGCGAACCTCAGCATTGATGCCAGGCTGTAAGAAAAAAAAAAAACAAACAAAAAAAGCATTGTTCACTGGTCAGATGCACGCGTCACACAGCAACGGTGATTATAAGATGATGTTTCTCATTGCTAATATACACTTTTGCCAACAAGGAGTGGACAATATGACCTCAAAATAAATTCATGGTGTCAAGGGTCTGTTTTGGGGCCCCATTCTTTTTTGCCCCCAACAACATCTCTCATGATCTATGATAATGACGTGTTTCAAACTTGGGTCATGTGATTGATGTTGAGAGGCACTGACTCCTGGCGCTTCCTCGATGATCTTCTGATGTCTCCTCTGGACGCTGCAGTCCCTCTCAAACAGGTAGACGGCATTCCCGTGCATGTCCCCAAACACCTGAACTTCAACATGTCTGCACACGTGCACGATGAGGACAATCCAAAAGTCACTCTCGCGTCAACAGCGCTGCAGTTAAGTTTGCCTTTTTTTCTGACCTGGGATCCTCCACAAATTTCTCGATCAGCATGACATCATCATTGAAGGATTTCCTGGCTTCTCGTCTCGCAGACTCCAACTGCTCCAAGAAGTCAGAGTCGGACCGTGCAATGCGCATCCCCTAAACACACGGCAACGTGCATAAGTTATTGCTTTCATTTCGATGAATTATTATTTACAAAGGTTTCTCCTTAACTTGGAGCCCACTAATTTGCAGATTTTTGGTTTCCCCCTTTTTGATGGGAAGCAAACCTGTGTTTTTCGTGGGATGACAGGAGACAAGTATCAAGTATCAATAATATTAAAATGTTGGGTGAGTCAATTTTTGTGAAAAAAAAAAAAAGACACACAAAATGGGTTTTTGCACTTAACGTTAGTTTGCTGTTAAGCAGTTTTGTGTCGTGAATGGTCATTTTTATATACAAAAGCCCTTTACACTGGAGGATATACATACATATATATATATATAATTATTTTTTTAAATAATATTATTATTTTAATGATTAATGATGTTTGGGAGCTTTTCGAACAGTTCCTCTGAGGCCACCCCGCCCTGAACGTGTCACCTCACCTTGCCACCCCCTCCGCGGACCGCTTTGATCATCACAGGGTAGCCAATCTTTTCCGCCTCCGCTCGCAGTCTCTCATTTGATTGGTCATCGCCGTGGTAGCCTCCGATGATTGGCACGCCGGCAGCCGACATGATGTGTTTGGATGTGCTGAAACGTAAATGAAAAGTAGGCGCCATTCTCACTAAGCTCGGCAGGGCAACACACAACATGTGGCAAAATGATATTCTTCAGTGTACCTCTTAATGCCCATGTCCCGGATGGCAGAAGATGGCGGTCCAATGAAGATGATTCCATTTTGTTTACAAGCCTCTGCAAACTCTGTGTTTTCAGACAGAAAGCCGTAACCAGGGTGGACTGCCTAAACAAACGCAGACACACATCGGTCCCCATGAAGTACCTCTTGGTTTCAAATAGGTTGGTGACCCCCAATTTAAAAACAAAGAAACTTCACAGGACAGCGCTATCAGTTTAAGTAACGACGAATCAAAAAAAATGGTGTGTCAACTGACAAACTACAAACTCAACACTAAACATCTTGTTCAATGAATTCTTTAATTGCGTCAATCACAGATGAAGATTCAAAACTACTGAAAGACTTCTTGTCATCACTGTTGTTTGAAGTGTAGGAACAGCACATGTGTCCGCCGAGTACCCAACCACTCACGTGTGATCCAGATTTCTTGGCCACTTCCAAAACCTTCTCCATGTTGAGATAACTCTGCTGGGAGGCAGGCGGCCCAATGTGGTAGGCTTCATCGGCCTGGAAAAACAGTCCGAATAGAGAATGGAGCTTCAATATGTTTGGGAGCTTTTGGGACCTTTCAAAGATGCACGTTGAACTGACTCACCATGGCTACATGCATCGAGTGGCTGTCAGCATCGCTGTACACAGCCACAGAGCGGACGCCCATCTTCTTTGCTGTGCGCATGACTCGGCAGGCGATCTCCCCTCGATTGGCTATCAGTACCTTCTCGATCCTTCCCCTGCCTACCAACGGCATGACAATCTTTTAGTAGATGTTCGACAAAATCAAAACATGACCGGATAAGATCCTGCAGCAGGTAAATTGTACTGTTTGCATTAGAATCATCAAGTTTCACCAGAAAATACGGATGACTGCTGGATCTATCATGTAACACTAATCTGTGCATCCAACAATACTTAATGCAGCTCTGCTTACCAACTAACGGGAATTACATTTAAAGTACATTCAAAATCCAAAGCTACGTGTTTTCTAAAGAGCATTGAGCATCTCTCACCTCCCGAAATAAGTCTCGCTCCTCTTTTGGTCCATGACAATTTCCTGCAAAGAGATTTTTTTTGCACAACATGAATTGAATGGTGAATAATCGGCTCACAAAAAGTGGAGGACTGCAAACATCTGTCAACGTAAACAGACAGCCTATCACTTCATTTAACCTTGCTTGGATACGAACAAATGCTGACCTCTGTACAACAAGTCATATTTCCTCTCGACAGTTGTGACAATCTCCGCAACAGTTAAGGTTTAGCAACAACTTGTAATTTTTAGCCTTCGCGTTTGTTTCTGGTTATCTCGGTTGACATTTCCAAAAGTGATTGCTAGCAAGCTAATGAAAGCAAAAGGATGAGCGTCCCCGGTGACACGACAGCGCGCGCAATATTTTGGAGACAACGGCACGCAAGCCATTCATTCACTCACTGTGTGAAAATCCTTAGACCGTGTAGAGTCGGGAAACTTAGAATGACTGCAGCCATTGCTGTCAGCTTGTACGACAAGCTAGCTTGCTCGCTCACTGACTTCAACACTGCTCTAGAAAAAGGCGAAGCGATACTGTCAAAACACTATAAAAACACTCTCAAACCTTTCCGCGTTTGTAAAGCCAACCTAATTTGGGACGGACGCCTAAAAGACGTAATTAGCTCACAATTTGACGCGTAAAACAAGACAAGTATTTGGACCAAGTTTGTATTGTATTTTTGAGCTTTACGGGGATTCGTAGTGTCGGTGGCCAATGAGGGATGAGGACACGGAGGCGGGAGGTTGCTGCAATTACGGAAAAATATCAGCAGGTGGCAGCATTTCAAGGTTACAGTCAGCGAACTGTACAGTGCTGCATTTACTGTGTGTAACTCAAGAGTACGCTACAACGTTTGGCGTGTCTCATGAGTTAAAAGCGTTCCACGCTACTCTTGGAAGGCTCTTGCAATATTTGTTGCAAAAATCTAGACTTTTTTTGTCTTCAAAACTACTTTATTAAAATGTATTTCTTTATTGTATATTTGTTGTTTTCACGTAACTAATTCAATATATGTTTTTTTTCACCATATCTATGAATGATTGATATGATAATCTTGATTATTATGATGGCATCTTGTTTTCAAATAATACAATTTAAATATGCAATGGGGGAAACCTATCTGACTTCATCAAGTGTCATAACAATAAAAATGCTTTTACGTGGACTAAAATATCTCACCCATCATCATTCTAAAAACTCGCATCCATCTTCTGTGCCGCTTGTCCTCATTTTGGTCTCAGGTGAGCCGGAGTTGATCCCAACCGACAGTGGTTGTGAGATTTGATCCACCCTGGACTGGTTGGCAACTGATCACAGCGTTATACAAACACATTGTCCATAATTTCAGGAGATTTTACTGAGCGACAACATCAAAATACAGTACCGAATGATAGAAACAGTTCCAGACAGAGCTCAGAGACGTTCGTAGCCACGAGTACGATTTTCTTTCAGCAATAAGAAAGTCAGGACACCAATCATCAAAAGGCCAACCGCCACAGCCCAAAGGATAATGGGGATGATCCTCTGATTATAATCGGCCAAACACTCGTCCACTGAAAAAGAGGAAGCCGATTTAAAAAAAAAAAAAAAGAACAAACGTAATTGCAGATGAAGCGAATAGAAGTGTATGCACCTTCTCCATAATGTCCACCGGGCACACCGAATGCCTGCATCTGAAGAAATACCAACTTAATGCTCATTTCTGAAGATGTCTGAAGCACGTTTGTGGATTTGCACCGAAAGCTTCGACCGTAAGACGCCGCAAAGAGCTTGCCAGGGGATACCAAACCCAAATAAGTCTCATCTGAAGAGGGGAGGGAAAGCAACAAAAGGACAAACTTAGACGACATGCTCAGAAACCGTCGGGTCATGTCAACGGTCCTTTCTTTTTTTTTTTTTTTTTGTCTTACTTGCACATCCTAAGCAGACGGGCAGAGGAGACAACGAAGCTGTAAGCTTGGTGACGTAGAACAGATTGTTTTCCTGGGAAGAGAAGACAAATTGTGCTTTGTGATTAAATTTTTTTTTTTTGTTTCCTGCACTTGAAATTCGCCCAACGGTGGCGTGCGTTGTACCTTTTTGAACGTGAACTGCAGGCTGGCGGCATGATCAGGGAGGGTGAGAGACAACACGGCCGATTCCCTGTGACAGGACCCACTCACGTGGACCTTGAGAGGGTCCAAGTTGAAAAACCAGCTCTTCTGAAAATGTTCAAATGATAACATCTGATTTCTCGTTCTCTCCATTTGCCCCCATTGCAGATTACGCGACGTGTTTTACAATAAACATACGAGCACAATGAAGAAATAAATGAAGCATCATTTTGGGTTTTGGGCATTTTAAAAAATATGATTTTTCCCCAAATTATCATTTTCAGATGTAATCTACATAATGCTTATAAATGTGATACGAAAAATATCTAAAACAACATGATATGGCAAAAATATTGTTGTGGATTTTGTTATGAGGGTTTGAACATCTGTTCCCAAAAATCTGATTTTTCTGGCTATTCCTTGATGGGTCAGGCATTACAGGGTTAAGAAGCCGTTTTTTATTATTATTTTTTTTCTGTGTACCTGTGGATAATACGGTTCTACTTTTAATTTTGCAAAGCACATTGAATTAGCTCGTGTATGTTGCTTACGCGCGTATGCTGCCTAATGGCACAAAGAAAAGACAGTATGACTCCATCTATTGGCCGTAAAAATAATGACACTTCGTAACTGATATGGAAAGCAGACATCGAATTTAACATCAGTGCCACGCCCTCTTATCATTTTCAGATGTAATCTACATAATGCTCATAAATGTGATACGAAAAATATCTAAAACAACATGATATGGCAAAAATATTGTTGTGGATTTTGTTATGAGGGTTTGAACATCTGTTCCCAAAAATCAGATTTTTCTGGCTATTCCTTGATGGGTCAGGCATTACAGGGTTAAGAAGCCGTTTTTTATTTATTTTTTTCTGTGTACCTGTGGATAATACGGTTCTACTTTTAATTTTGCAAAGCACATTGAATTAGCTCGTGTATGTTGCTTACGCGCGTATGCTGCCTAATGGCACAAAGAAAAGACAGTATGACTCCATCTATTGGCCGTAAAAATAATGACACTTAGTAACTGATATGGAAAGCCGACATCGAATTGAACATCAGTGACACGCCCTCCCTCTACCACAAAATGTTGTATTGAAAAAAAAGCACATCTGCATTTGGTTTATCCGGAAAAGGTACAAGACATTTCACAAATGTCCTATTTTTTTTTTATCCCACTTCTGTCAATATTGACAGTCAAGAAGCCTGCCTTGAGTGGAAGATGCATACACAATCCCGCATAAACAAGAGTGAGCGTGCAACCTTCTTAATGATGACAATGTACTGTGCTCCCAGGGTGGCTTTGACGCACAGTTCCCCCCGTGGGTTTGTCACATTGTAGGTTCCTGCAGAAAAGCACAATGGCCAAAAACTGCTTGGTGAGAGACAGTCCACAGAGTGACCGACGAATGAGGTGATAAGTGTACCGATCAGAGGGAGGACGTCCAACGGGCGCAGGACAGGCCGGTAGATGTGAGCCCCAAAACTTGAAGCGGCAACGATGGAGTTGTCATTTCCAAGTAAGTGGACCCCTAGGAGAGATTCACGTGATTTAGCCATCGATCCATTTGCAACACCGCTTTTATCTGGCATGAACAGGGTCGTGCTGGAGCCCATCTCATCTGACGCCGGGCGGAAGGCGGACTACACCCAGAACTGGTCGCCGGTCAGTCGCAGGGCACATATAGAGACAAACAAGCACGATCCCACGCTGCCCGCTCACAAATCAGGCGAGTGGACCTCATATCATTTATTCTTTCAAACGATTACATCAGAAAAAGTACCGCATATCAATTATTCCTATCGATAACAAGTAGAATGGCAGTCAACAATCTTTTTTTTTTAAAAAAGAGGTCATTTCACAGTACCGCACGGTAGAAGAAGACAAGATGTGATGCTAATTTGGCATTTCCTTGCGTCGATCTGCGTAAGTTTCCGGGTGTGGTGCCTCAAGTTTCAAGCAGAGGAAACCACAACGATTTTTGGTTACCGACAGTGCCGTCAGCTCACTGGGACACACCTTCGTGATCAGGCAACGCGTGACTCTTTGAAGCAAAAAATAACTTTCAGTTGCATGTGATGAATCAATCAGTTATGTTCCGAACACCCGCCCGCTCTCCCCCGATCAAAATGATCGTCACATGATGGCCAAAAGTTATTTCGTGTCAGTATTGAGCCGCGTAGCACAAGCTGATAACACATCTTTTTGCGAATGTGAGGATGTAATGTGAGAGGAAAGCCGCAAATGTCGTCGACGACGTACCTGGAATGAAAGCAGCCAAGAAAAGCAAACGCCATCCACTTGAACAACTGCCTTGCATTGTAAAACAAATGCAAAACAATGATCGGATGGCGAGCTCGGTGGAGATGCGACCTCGGGGGTTATGACCATCTAAATGCTCTGCTTTTTTTTTTTTTTTTTGAGTCTCTCAGAGAGGAAGTGCAGTGTCACGGAAGGGGAGAACAATCGTGTGTCACTCTGCCTCGACACCTCTCAAGTTTGAGAACATTTTGGACATCTTGCATGCATGAAAAAATGCTTATTGTTTTTTTTCCCAGGCCACATGATGGACATCAAAAGTATCCACACTTGGGCCCACTATTCAACTGTATTTTCATGCCGCTCATGTCGGCGATAATTTGGGAGAGCGACTGCACGTAACAAGTTAGCGTACAAAGTTTGACAAGCACCGGCTTGGATATAAAACAAGGAGGAGCTCAGCGGTCGATTGTTGTTCTTGGTTGATATGGTACAAAATCGTCTTTGCTCATGGGAACAGTTGGCTTTTGGGACAAGCTGTGTCGTTTAATAAAATGTGTTGTTCACCTTCCCAATTTGTGAGGGACAAATACACACAAAAACACACACACACAAAAAAGATCCAATCTGAAGGGTTCAGTGCACCGGATGAATCAAAATGGTGGAGGGTAAAGGTCGCCAGGGACAAAGTACCAGCTAAACACACAAACCACACACTTACTATATGGAACCACTGAGAGCCCTTCAACCCAAACTCTGGGGTTTCCTCTCGGAAGTCCGTACTTTTGGTTGCTACGAATTAATGACCAGGAGCGCGCGTGTGTTGCTGAAACCACGCAAGCGCACCCTCGTCTGAAGTCACTGAAGATTTGCCGTGAGGGTGTCTCATGTGCCGTCACGTCGCTCGCTTTGACTGAGCAGGTCAAACAAACAAGCAAACATTTACTCTCCTTGCGGTCGCACAACGCTTGTGGATGCATTTGTGTGAGTGAGTGTGTGTGTGTGTGCGCGCACGCGCGTGCGTGTTGTGTATTCTGTCTGCCCTCCTGTCCTGTGTGTTGACCGGTGAGTCATCATCATCATCCTCAGCGAACTACATTTTCAGGAAAACTTCATTCAGTCGTCCATTCCAGGTTGAGGAGGAGTCGACGCCGATCGGATCAACCGCTGGCCTCTGCGAAACTCCGTCTAAGTGTGAGAGCAGCACATTCTTTTCATCGTAACCTTTTTTTTGGGGCGGGGGGCGCTTTGAAAGTTGTAGCTTATGATATCGATTCACACGAATCCCTTTTTGCGTTTCGAGCTGAGGTCCAACTTTTGTTCTCCTCTTTGCCTCAGAGTGGCCAAGAACCGAGCACAATGAGGAGTGGCGTGGCTCTGACTACGCTGGTTCTGTTGGGCCTCGTTTGCAGCCAGGTAAGGGCGCTTCCGGGGAATTTCAAGTGTATGGTGCTTTTTGGGCGAGCAGCGCACCCACCACCTGAAGAAATCAAGTCGAAGGAATTGGCAATTAACAAATTGCCACGGTGGAGTACCCTGAACACTGGCGGAGGTAAAGGGTAAATTTATTGGTGGCTCAAAGTGCACCACCAGTTGTGCATCTGCTCTATAAATTGTGACTCAGACGTACCAACTACATGTATGGCTGTGGCATCTGATGAGATGTGGATTCCTTTTCAACATTGCTAAGCCTCAATAAGGTCATGGGTGCGAGCTAGAGCACGCTTGGGCCAAGAGGCGGGCTTCACTCTGGACTGGTTGCCAATCACGGGATGCAAGCAGTTTTTTGGGGGGAGGGGACACCGTTTAAGGACGAAACATATTACAAATACAGTACTGTACTTGGTTTGAGCATTTCATTTAAGGAAGTAACATGCATAACAGTTTCAGATGTGGAAGATATTCCTAATATTAAAAAAAAAAATAATAATGGGGAAAAAAAGCCTTATCCTTGGCGTTATTTACGGTATGAGAATTGTTTCATGTGTCGGCACAAAGAATTATTGATGTCTTGCGCCACCATTTAAAAAACACATCCAGTGCAGGGGGATGTTATCATGTTCCTCGCCAAGTGACCTTTCCATGAAAGTTGTTTGTGACTGTCAACGTTCTCCCCTTGAAGGACGTCCTGCCAGGCGTTCACATCTTCTGCGACGACCCGTCTGTCGAGAAGGCCGTTGCCAGCGCTCTACACATTTTCAATGACAGGCAGAGCACAAGCTACAAGTTGGCCCTCTACCAGATATTAACGGCCACCAAGGTAAAAAAAAAAAAAAACGCGTTCAGAGCTAAAATGCACTGCTGTTGCCTCAAAGCACACCGGTTGTCTGATTGGAAAGCGATCATGTGCGACCTTTTTCCCGAAGCAGTTAATATGTAAGTTGAGGGGTTCATTGTTTTTAGTGGATCGCTCTACTTTACGAAAGGAGAGCTGGAATACTTTGAATGCAGTTTTATTAAAAGGGGGAGGGGGGGTGTCTGCACCACAGCACGCTCAAGAACACAACTCCTTCTTCCGGCTATGAAAACACTTCCTGTTTTCTTCAGCCAATCAGAGGCTGTCAACATAAACGTGTTTAAGAAATTATCAAAGAGAATATAACTAAGGTAATTTTAACATCAAAGACAATAATGTAATGTTCAAACATAAAATGATAATAATTAACAATTTAACAAAAGCTTACAAATATATCGACAAGGCGTGCAACTGTAATATTAGGGCTTTGCTGATTTGGTGATGCAGGTTTTGTTGCACTGCTGCCAAGTCACAGTTGCTTCTCTCGTCGAGGGAAGTTTGAAGTGGCTCCAAAAAGTGAGAGCTTCAAACACGGTGAAACTTTACTGATGATTTTTACGGTTCATTTGTGAGAAACATCCTATCCTTAACCGTGGCCTAATCACACCGTAAGAGCGGGAACGCATTTCACAATACATACAAATAATTAGCAAACATAGTTCGCGCTATACACTAAATATTGACATACACGAATGCTCTTAGACATACAATTATGACACAAAACACACCTTTTGACTCTTCGGGGGAGTTGCCAAGTGTAAAACGCTTTTGTTAGCCTTCGTAAATCAACTGTGGCCGCACTGAAGCTGTCAAGGTAACTCTTGGCGAATCGCGCTAAACAGGAAGCGCAAAACAGGAAGTGATCATTCATCTGTAAATGTCAAAAATATATATAAAATAAAATCACTACTGCTGTGACAAATAAATGATTATGTTTTGACGGTGTTAGCAAATGTCAAAAATATTTTTTTAAAACGTCATTTTGAGAGAACAACAGCATATACATTTTGCCTTTTGGTCACTATAATAAATAATGACCTCCTCATGGCTGTCTTTGCATACACAAATAATTTGTAAAATGTTAGTTCACAACTCAACTGTGTGCGTATGTGTGTGTGTGCTTCCTCAGTCAGAGAACGGCTCGGAATCTTTCTACTCGCTGCATTTTTCGAGCAGGTTTACTGACTGCCCGGCAGGAAGTCCAAGACCTCACACAGATTGCAACTATGACCCGTATGGGCGCCAAGTAATGAGATTTCATCGGGTTTCCACTCTTTGTGGAGTGAATTTTATCGTTGTGGCCGAGTGTGTCTTGGATTGACAAATTCTTCTGCGAAATCCTGGTGTTTCCGATAGGTGCCTTTATCCTGCAATGCCACAGTGGTCATGACAGAGACTGAAGCTCACACGAAACAGGTGCACTGTCTTCTCGGTGAGTCACTCAGTTCATGTCGTGCCTGTGTTTGAATTGTGACACAATCCTGAAAGATAACCAGCGGAGGAGGAATAATTCTCCTGCACACTGCTCAAAATAATAACTCACTATCAAAATGAACCAGCACTACTTGCATGAAAGGGAGCAACATGTAGCACTATGCAGAACCCATAACGCAAATGTGGATTTATGTCTTGAAGCCTTAAAACCATCTTTGTCTTTTTCACCAACTTTGTCCAGATGACCATATCGTGCCGGAAAGAGCTTCCTGTCTGGGCTGCCCGATGGAGATTGATGAGAACTCCGAGGACATTAAAGTTCCTCTCTCCTTCTCCATCTCCAAGTACAACTCCATCTCAAACTCCACACACCTGTTTAGTCTGAACAACATTGGACGCGCAACAAGACAGGTGAAGGCTCTCGGCGTCGATTTGGTGGGAGAGAGAAAAAGTATGGAGTGTTCAGATGTTTGGTGGCCTTCCAGGTGGTGGCGGGTTTCAGATTTAAACTGCAATTTGACATGAAGAAGACCACGTGTGCAAAGGCTGAACACAGCGAACTCAGTGACCTCTGCGTGCACGACGACGAGGCGACGGTAAACACGGTCGCAAAACATGTTTGTCTCGCTGTGTGTGTGAAGTTGGCGAGCCAGCCGCATTTCTCACAAGCTCTCTCTTGGTTGGGTGTGTGCAGGAGTTCGTCCACTGTCATTCCACAGTGGACGTCGCGCCGTGGAGACATGTGCCCCCTCAGGCCAGTATAGACTGCGCGGACGGTCCTCTGCCTCCTCAGGTAAGCTCCCGGTCACTATCTTACATGCAAAAATGATTTGGGGTGCTCCAAAATAAATGAAAAAATAAAAATAAAACCACACAGCAACAAAAGTGTGCAGCTGCATGCCTTTTCTGCCTTATGCACCTGGCAGAATACGGCTCTTTTGCACATATACTGTAGATAGAAAATGAATGGATGGAAGTGTTTTTTTCTCCATCATTTATATAACACACAGCAGCTACAAGTCAATGGTGCATTTTGATTTACATACAAACACGTGGCAGCGATTGATGCACCCTCCTAAAAAAAATTGGGGTTACTCATAGATGCCACTAGATGGCAGCAAACCACTAGAAGCTCCTCAACTCAACGTGTTCAAGATGTTTCAAAATGGTGGCTGAGTAACACTTTCATTGTTTTGTCCAGGGTATAAAAACAGCAAATAAGTAAATTTTTTTTCAGGGGATAAAAAAAAAAAAAGATGAATGTGCAATTGCGGAGTAGCTTCATAAACAACAACATACTAATAGATAGATATAGATAGATAAAATGCTGAGATCGCGCCCCTATATTGCTGCATGTCCCTTTTTCCCAATAATGTGCGATCATAAAACTTTACCGGCGAAACATTTGAACCGCAACACACTTATACATTTTTTTTTCCATCTTCAGCCATTTAGTCGGCGCCTGCCCCCCGGCTGGACCCCCTTTAGGGACGCGGTAAAAGAGGATCCCGTCCCCGCATCAATTCCTGCATGTCCCCTTTTCCCAATAATGTGCGATCATAAAACTTTACCGGCGAAACATTTGAACCGCAACACACTTAAACATTTTTTTTTCCATCTTCAGCCATTTGGTCGGCGCCTGCCCCCCGGCTGGACCCCCTTTCGGGACGCGATGAGAGAGGATCCCGTCCCCACATCACTGCCGCTCCCGCCCGGGATGGCACAGCTGCGCCTCCCACATTTAGGCCTCTGCGTGATGAAGACCTTCTGGCGTGAACGCCTCACCGAGGGAAGACGTATGATTCCAAATCATCTCTTGATATCGAGCTGTTCAGCAAAAATCTCCACCTGCCACAATGAGGACTTCAAACGTGAAATCGAGAGAGGGTTTGATTCAAATTAGAGGTGAAAGAGTTGATCGCAGTCCACTGAATCCATTAAAATGATCAATCTTTGTATATATAATACAAGGCAACACAGTACACGTTCAAATCACGGCCGAGTGCCACTGTAGAGCGGAAATGTTAAGATTTCCAAGTTGGCCAATATGGAGAAAATAAAGTTGTTTTGACTTTTCTTTCCGGGGCTATTGATGTTTCTCAATGGAATAAAAACTCAATTCAGCCGCTGTTGAGGAATGAATTATTTGTCACTCTAAAATTTCAACTTAAAAATATTTACAGTCATAATTGCAGGGATCCAGTCTGTTTGCAATAGGAGGCCTGCAGCCAAACCCAAAACTGTTCCTACCCTTGCCTTCGAAATAATTTTGGGCTTGACTGTATACACCCGATAAATAAATAAACAAAAATAAAAAAACTGATTTCAAGAAAGAATTTGTCTGAAAGTGGTGACAGGGGAGAATAAATAACTAAGGGCTTTGTGTTGATGACATCTTGCGTTGGTAGGTTGAAGAGGGCTTTTGCGCCGAAACCGATGGTGCGCACTTTTGTGCAAAAACACACGCAGTCTGGTCAATGTTTAACAAATGTATTTGTACATCTTCACAGAACGCTCCAATGGTCAGTCAGTCAATCCAGTTACAAACTTTTACCCTGTGACCAGTCAGCCAAACAGAAAGACAAGGATACAATTCAAAATTTTAAAAAAAAAACGTGTTCAGGAGAAGATGAACCTGTCAAGTGTTCTGGAAGGAAGCAAACTTAAGGCATTCATTTTCAAATGTGTGTGTGAGTGCTTTGCAACGAGGACACGTTCTACCTTCATCCAATTTCATGCGGGTAGGCTGTGAAAAAAAAAAAAAAAAAAAGAATACACTGGCCCAATGTACATTCATAGTATAGGCTAAGGTTTTGTCTTGTCAGCATGTCATCTGATGGAAATGTGGGACATGTACAATAAACAACACTGCATATTAAAAAAAAAAAGGCTGATGACCACATAATCGCTGCATCAGTGACTTTGGGGTCATTTCAAGAAAAATGTTGACAGTTGGTAGTCGACACCGTTTTTCCTGCGTTTCTCCAAGTGGAGAAGTTTCAAACCCTCACAAGCCGCGCTCATGTTTCAAGCCATTCAAAATGCTGGACAACATCAACGGTTACATTCACAACGAGCAGGTTCAGGAGGGAGCGAAAAGGTTTGACAAAAAAAATGAACATAGACAACAAGCGAAACATTACAACTATTTCTTCATTTCACATTAGTGTGTTGTGCACTCGTATTGCATTGGATTTGCGTTCTTTGCGTGTGCGTGTGTGTTTGTGTATTGTTTAGGTATTTGTTGACACGACCCATCCGAGCCAATCGCAGTTAACAATACTCTAACTGACTGTAGATCATCCCTGTGCATTATATAGGGTAGATTTGCTCATATATTAGGCAGGAAAGCTAGATTTTTAAAAGCTGCTTTTTTGTTTAGCATTTTAAAAGTCCTACGTCATATTTTCAGCACACGTAATCTGCTGGGAATCATCATTTTGAGGCTTGGGTTAAGAATAAAAAAGTGAAATGTATCGACATGCCTCATGGGAGAGTCGCCTTGATGCCAGATCACCATCACAACATGGCAGGAGAAACTTGACGACAAGGCTGCAAGCACTCAAGGCCCAGCGAAACACACACGTGGCTCATAAACAGACACTGTACTGCTTTTATCGACACGACTTGAAAAATACACCGACGGTGGTTCACAGTTTTGAAGTAAAACGAAGAGGTTCATTCTAGTAGTCTTTCCTCTCCTCTCTGCATCTCAAGATAAGCGATGCAAAAACCGAAGGAAAAAACAATGGTGAGTTGGGGTGCCAACACACGGCGTTATACAGACACACACACATGGTGGGACAGGCCAAATCCGTTCTGCAACCTGCGCAGACATATGAACATGTACGTGACGATCACATGAACAGGTAAGGACAAACATATTGCGTAATGCTTCATCAACAAAACTATTTCAGAAACATGCTGTCTGTCACTGATTTGCTTGACTGCATGATGAACTTTGACACCCCCCTCCCCAAGGAAAGTAAAAACTGCATCTGAGCTCATGATAAACAGCGACTGCACATCTGGTTTGTGGTATCAATGAAATACATTCAAGCCACTCATGCTGCAACGAAAATGGGCATCACAGCAGAGCACAACTTCGACTCGATAATCCAGTCGAGCCTCAAGTGGGCAGGTTTAGTTTCATGGCGGGCTAAGACAGTGGGCGTCCGCACATTTAAGCAGTGGATAAGACGGGATTCTCATACAGTGCCAGTGCCGGGCTTTGGCGGGCAAGAATGCGGAGTGTAATGCGGCAACGCCAAGGCATTTTGATCAACAGGAAGACGTGACATCGCACCTTGACTCCTGCTAATGTGGAACTCGTAAACTGGCCGCGCCGTTCGTTTTGCATCACAACACGTAGAGGAAAGCAACACTCCTGTCATTGCAGGAATAATAGCCGTAAAAAAAGACAGAAGGAGTGCCTACATTGCTATAGTTCAAAGTGTCTCAGAACTTAAAAAAAAAAAAAAAAAATTAACAATAGCCTGGAATCTGTCCCATGACACAAATATGACAAACACGTCACTGACACTGAGAAACCGAAGACGGATCGAAGAAGCGGCATGCAGGCTAACTGAAAAAGTGGCTGAAACCCGTACATACCTGTAACATCCTTTCCAAAGTCATCATAGAGCGACGTTTGTGTGTGTGTGTGTGTGTGTTTATTTTTCCCCCCAAAATGTTGGTTTTGATAAAGAGGCAACAATCACCCTGAAGTTGGTTGAAAAGTCTGAAGGTGCACCACCAACAAATGCCCCCGAGGGTGGAGTGCTGTTTCTAAGAGGTTGGGGGGGGGAGGAAACAAACAATACGTCTTGGAGCCTTAACAGGGGCAGTTTCACCACAAACACGGTGGAAGACGGAAGGCTAAGTGCACAGGCGACCATCACAGGTCCCCATATTGAAGTCAAACTTTGTCATTTTTTTTCCTGTCCTCTTCTTGTTGGCACTGGCAAGGAAATGTTTCCCGGGAAAACAGAGTGAGGCCACAGCGCAGCACTCAACAAGCAGCAAGACAAGTGGCTACATTTGTAGCTCGATGAAGAATAATGCTGAAACCAATTGGTAGTTTTCCTCCAGAAGTGTAGAAGTGCAATGGGCATTTGGGTTTTCCAGTGTTATATATTAAAAAAAAATCCCAAGGAAGAGCTTCCAGGAAGTGTGACTTCCAAAAATGGCATCATTGCCACCAGAATAAAGAAATCAATCACGTTGGCAAAAAAATAAAATAAATAATATCCATCATCCATGATGCAAGCCGCTTATCCTCAACGAAGGCCACGGGCATGCTGGGAAAAGCTGAAAACAACCAAAAAAGTTTGTTTGTGTGCGGCTTAGCTTAGTTAAGTGCATGCTGTCGAATTGTGTGGAAAATCCAGTCCATCTTGGTGGTCCAACCGCCATGGTGAGCGTCGTTCATCTGTTTCATGAAATAGTCCAAGGCCTCCTGCAAAAAGAAAAACGACACACGAAAAGACTCGTGGATCACGTGGCCGTGATATAGGAAGGTTTTCTCTTCCTCATACCTGTTCTGTTTTTTCCAGGGCCAAGGTCTTCCTAATGTAGGCGATGTCATCAAACGACTGTAACTCGGGCATGCCGGAGCCCAGCATCATGGAGAACAGGTTGATGAACAGGTTGGCATGCTGCCGGATGGCCAGGTAGGCTTTATAACACATTTCCTGGAACCTGCAGAGCGTAAAATAAAACATGAACGTGCTTGTACTACTTCAAAAGACAAAACGACACATCCTGTATTAAACCTCTGAAAACAGGTCAGGGCTGATGGCGGCCACAATAATGCCATGAAAGGTTGAACAGTTCCAACGGTCGGTTCAGAATGCAATGTTGACAAAAACGCCACTGTTTTTAAAATCAGCAAGGCCGGTCGAAATTGACAACGTAGCAAATGAGCTGGTCAGTACATTAAAAAAAAAAGGATGCACACCTCTCAAACTCTTTGGTCTTGGCGCACTCTTGGGAGCCCTTACTGATGACGATGAGGAAGTCTTGTGTCAGCACAAAGGGCACTCGCTCTCTCTTGTAGCCAAACTTCTTTTTCTTATGATCCAGGAAGTGTCCAAAGTCGATATGAAATAACTGCGGCACAAGGCAAAGAGTCAAGGAAGAAGCCATGGCTCACATTTGTCTCTCTTACCATAGTTTGTCCTCTGATGTCAAATCTTTTCAACACTATGCTAAAGTGGTCCCTTGTGTAGTCCCGCCAGATTGTCATCACTGAAAAGTCTGCCTATTTTTTTGGAACGCACACCATAGCACAAGGCAGCAGGAAAAGTAGGACTACTTTCGGGACTAGAACTTGCAAGCCACAAGACGTTTCCAAAGCCCTTTCGAATCGAAATCGCGTTTTTTGTGACACGGCAAAGTTTGGGGTAAAGTTACAGTTTAAACAATAGATATAGGCAATTACAAAGCATTTCGGGGGGCTCAATTACTCGGGGTTTCTATGTATTTGCGAGAGGGCTCCGTCCCTTAAACCCCACAAGAGGTGGGCAGTTACCGTACAGACTCCACAAAGGATGGTTAGCACCCTTTGTGGCGCTTACTCTGTATATCTCGGACTCTATCAAATTAAATAACATCTTAATAATAATTACCGTTTGCACCACCCAACTTGAGAGCGAGTGACAAGTAACCGCAGCGTCTTAAGTCCGCCAACAGAGGGACCAAACTAACTCGAGCCATCTAGTGTGACATCACTGAGCTGAGGTGTCGGAGCCTTGCTCAAAAGCACGTTGACGGGAGCCAGGATGCAGACACCCATTTTGTCAGCGACAAGCCACTTTTTTTTTTCTTTTTGTCACCTCAAAATATCCCAACGCTCACGCTTGGACACCACAGTGTGTGTTTTTGTGGTTACCTGCCCATCATCTTTGACCATAATGTTGCTGTTGTGCCTGTCTCCAATCCCAAGAATAAACGTAGCTACACAGTAGCCAGCACAGGACCTTGTGAAAAGGTCCACAGCCATGTCATACCTAAACATATGAGACGTAAATATGGGAAAAGACGGCCAAATGTGAATTAAATGAGCATTTCCGCGAGAGGACAAAAAAAGATGAAGAGAGCTCAGTAAATGGTGCCGTGATGAGCTTCCGGACTTACATCTCGCCCTTGTTCTTATCTCGGAGCCACTGATGCAGAGTGTTTGAATTGAACTGCAAAGCTCCTTTCAAGCCACCTTTACACTGAATCTGCATGATGGTGTGTGAGCTGCGAACCACCTCGATGAGACCCACGCAGTCTCCTAATGACAGGCAGCCGTAGGGCAGCATGCTGGAGGCAAAAAAAAAAAAAAAAAGGACATTTTAAATCAAACACGAGTGCACGCATGTGACGAGCTGCGGACAACGAGGTGGTGAAATCTGTGAGAACGCTGAATTGCATGTACCGCAGGTCAAGTCCCTGATTCTGCCAAATGTTCTCCATGATTTTGATAATCTGCAGAGTCAGCATATCTTGGCGCAGGTCTACAGCATCAAAAGACAAGCAGGAAAGTCAAAATTAAAGACAAGCGGGCAACTGCGATGAGAGGAGTTGTCATGTATGTTACCGTCTCCATTTTTGAAGATAATCTCGTTGTTCTGAAAGAGGAGCTCGGACATGATGTCGGGATTTTCCCAGTTGAGCCACAAGGGCCTTTTTGCCGATGACATGATCCTGCATTCCTCGAGCCTGCGCGTGAACAACCTCGCGTCATTCCAACGACACTTTAGCGCATGGTGACGCATGAGCATCACCCCCCCCTTCCCTCCTAACCTCAGGTTGCCTAGTTGGTGTGCGGGGTTAAGGGGAGAGGTGAAATTCTGTAGCGCATCCATGTAGTCTGGTCTTTTCATCTGGTCCACCAGGAAGCGCATCTGAACCTTCACGCACACGCAAGCACATCAATATGCGGGGACAATAAACACGTGCTGTGAAGAATTTCTGCTCGACTTCAACCTCTGCGACCTCAACGGTGAGAATACGCGTGCAGAAAAAACAGGCCCTCTTCCGACAGGAAAACAAAAGTCCAAATAGTGTGAATGGGAGCACCTTCTGCGTCTCATCCTTTTTCTCCTGTTTGAGGATATCGGTGAGATTGATGAGCTTCTCCATGGCCTCCACCTGCCTGCTGAGGTGTTTGAGGTACATGCCGCAGGCCCGGCAGTAAGCCTCCAGGAGTAGACCGAACCTTTGGCTCACCGTTTTGTTGTGCATCTCGGCCCTAGGACGACAGAATGAAGGCGAGGCTGACTATGACATGTTGCGCGGAAATCATCGATTGCGGCCAAGAGGACGCGGAAGGGCAAGCTGCTATGTGCTTGCAAATTTGAATGGACTCACTTGAGATGCCAAAAGAAAAAATGTCCTATTCTTTGATTCGTGAGGGCCTTTTTCAGTAGAAAGCGGGCCAGAGGATTGTCAAGGTACTGCTCATATTTTATAACCTGGCACAGGAGAGACAGGAATGGATTATTATTGACAAGGAATTTTAAAATGTAAAAGTTTTTAAAAGAGGAGGTCCCCATCATGATTTTTTTTTTTTTTTTTTGCAGCCGAATCCGAGGACGGGTCACTTGATTTTGATTCGATCCAATACCTCTGCAATGCAATGCAAATTGTATCAGTTATCTTTTTTTATGGAGGGGGGATAGGGTATCCCAAGCAGATCCCTTTTTATTTGGTTGTAAATTGGCAGTGGTTTGAATCAAGTACGGAACAAAAAAAATGTTATTGCTGACGTCAAATTTTAAAATCAGATTTTTTTTTTCCCAAACAATCCCAATCAGCTGAAAATCACGTGACCGGTCCCGATTTCCAATCATGTCGATCCAATCGGGACAACCCGAATTTTAAAAATCCCCGCAAATTACAAGACACTTAAAACATCACAAATACAAAAAAGTCAGAGAATTGCTTTCCATTGAAGACGAAATTATTGAAACCATCAAAAACAGTTATAGGTATAATAAAGTCCTTTTTTCAAAACAAAAGGTGTATTTTTCTGACAATCTCCTTGCATTGTATCAAGCTGCATTCTCGAAATTCCTTCTCATAAGACAACAACTTTTTATCCCGACACAGTCCACACACTGCAATGGACAGTTAGGACTGTTGGAAAAATTTTTTTAGCATTTTTAGATGAGCATTGCCCTGCCTGAGGACTATGATTGGGGGGGTTCCCGACCCTTTCAGGTGTCTCTGGATACAAACGGTTCCCAAAAGACACTTACCTGTACAAGCTGGATGAGGTACTGAGACAGTTTGTCATCGGTCAGGTATTTATCAAGGCAGCGTACGGCAAAGTGTCTAACCATGGGGTCCGGGTAGTTACAGTCCAACAATTCCATGGCTTGCTCCGGACGGATGGACGGCCATTCCTTCAAAAGGCAGTACATCTAGCATGCAGGAGTATAGAGAGAAAAGCACACCAAAAAATATTGCGCTTGTGCCATAGCGATGGCAAATCGACGTCGAGAAAGAAGACATGTGTAATTCAACTACGTATGTGTGATGTAAAATAACGGTGCAATTAATCTTTCCAAATTTGCATTGGTCAGCTGAAAAAAGCTCCTCCTGAAATATTAGCTAGACACATTCTTCATAACAGTCAGGATACCTGTGCTACTTCATCTCTGGAGTTCCATTTGACAGCGAGAAGGATCTTGGGAAGGATCTCGGGGAAATTCATGCAGTAGTGCCTGTGGGAAAAAAAAGGAAGGCACGGATCAACAAATTGAATGGACATTGATTTCGAGTAAGAAAATCCCATTTTGGGACACGAAGGTACGAAGGTATAGGAGTATTCTTTTACAGGTTATCCAAGGGGGGGCTACCTATGTCTCCAGAGGAAGTCTTTCTCCTGTTCGGTGATTTCTGAGAGCGGGTCTCTGTTGCTGAGCTGTCTCAGCTGGTCGAGGTCGCCCTCGGTCAGGGCATGATCTCTCGCCACCCGGTTGCTCTGCAACACAACAGCAAGAAGAGACAGCCTACAGTATGACACCGCTTATTAATCATATCGTTCAGACTTAAGGCTCCCATCTCGGATAGGAACAGTGAGAGACAAACTCACAGGTGAAACGTCCGCTGCGGGGTGAACAAATAGTATTGGGGTGCAATGTGGGCATTCGGCCACATCATCATTGTGCAAAACAAATGAAGCTCGGACGTGATGCATTAAGGGCCTGTTAGCAAAGCTTCTCCGCCAACTCGAGTTACAGATAAAAGGTTAATAGACCACGTTACGCCTTCATCATAAATAAATCAACTGTGCATTTTCCCTTCTTTGTGTCCCCCAGTATCTGATGGACCACTGTAAAGATATCTGACATTTCGGGAGCCAGTGAAGGGATGCCAGAGTAGGAGTGATGCGCTCCCTCTTACGAGTACCAGTCAAGAGGCGAACGGCAGCATTTTGGACCAACTGGAGCCGCTTCATGGAGGATTGGCCGACTCCAAAGTCAAGTGCATTACAGTATTCCAAGACACACACTCCAAAGTTGATTCCTTGCAGTCCTCTGCATTGGCCATGTGAATGCTAAATGTGCTTTCACTCGTATTTCGTCATGATGATGAAATATTTCAAGTGAAAAACACCCATCGCCAGTCAATGAACCGTGTCCAACTTTGTTTGAATCTGTCGTTGATACCTGTCCCGAGAGGTTGTAGTTGAAGCCAAGTTCTCTCGAGATGGTCCAGTTCGCATGATCCTCCACAGCGTTCATATCGGGGTATTTAACCGGACTGCTGAAGTGGTCAAATTCCAGCTCCAGACACGGGGTTTCCTGCACAACACGGTCACAGTGTGAGTATCAGGCAAGATCCATGAAAAGGTTTGCAAGAGGTGTTCAAAAGGACTTTGTTCAGGCTCCTAGAGGAGAACCAACACTGAATTCTACCGAGCCAATGAATGTATTCTGACACCTCAAGACAACTAAGCGGGCTATCCTGTTGTATGCATGGTATCAGGGACGAGCTGATCATTTACCTTATTGGGGTTGGAGCCTGTGACCCCGATGGGATTGAGAAGATCTTCAAGGCCATGAGGAACAGGCCACAGGTTGAGTGCCATCTTGTTTGCCACCAGAGTGTGTGTGTAGTCAAACAAGTTGACGTTGCCCCAAGCCAGTGGACAGTGCTCCTGAAAGAAAAA